TTACCCAGGATGGAGTGCAATGGAGCGATCTCGGCTCACTGCAACCTCCACCTCCTGGGTTCAGGCAATTCTCCTGCCTCAGCCTCCTGAGTAGCTGGGATTACAGGCCCGCGCCACCACACCCAGCTAATTTTTGTATTTTTAGTAGAGACAAGGTTTCACCATGTTGACCAGGATGGTCTTGATCTCTTGACCTCGTTATCCACCCGCCTCGGCCTCCCAAAGTGCTGGGATTACAGGCGTGAGCCACCGCGCCCGGCCCTTGATTCTCTTTTTGACGATCTTGGGCTTCACAAGGATTCTGAGGAAGGTTTTCCAAAGAGCCCTGGGGAGACAGATTTTTGAGAAGTAAAAGGACCCTCCCTCAAAACCGACCGCGGTCCTCCATTGGGTAGGGGGCGCTCCAAGACAGGAACTCTTCTAGCCCGTAGCCTCTCCATATTAGCGAGATCCTCGTTGCTAGGAGACTAGACGCCTCTTTCCGCTGGATCGCGCAGCCTCCCAGATAGCCGGGCCGTCTCTTTCTTGTTCGAAGGCCGAAATGTCTGGTCCCACAAACTCCCACAACCAGGGGCAGTTCTGGAAGGCCCCTTTCTAGGGACATTTTTCTTCTACGCTCTGTAAGGCGGGCCGAGGCAGGCCGAGACTTCTTTCCCGGATCCAGTCACCTGCCCCGCTATGCTTAAGAAAGAAAAAAAGGCCAAGACGCCCCTGTCCGATGAGGAGCAGCTGCTTCTGTTTCAGCAGAAGTTGCTGGCAGAGGAGGAGATGGCCAAAAAGAAGGAGAGGCTCCTCAGCCAGTTCTTGAAGGTGATGGCCTTTTGCATTATGTCCTGCCCAACCCCATCCTCCCCTTGCGCTAGCCCTGCCACTGAGGAAACCTCATTTCATCCCGACCTCCCCTCCGGAAATCCTGAGACCCAGATATACTTAGATTTCAGGCAACATTGTTTTGGAGGCGGGGGTGTTCTCTGCAAAGCATGGAGGGGGTGCGTAGTATACAGCTTGGCAGTCTCCATTGAATCCCAGAACTAGGACAGTAGGTCCTGTCAGCTGTCCCAGCTGTCTGGAAGGCTGATACTCTCCTTGGAGATAAATCATTACAAACAACATCCTACTCTGATGCTCCCACCCTGAAGGAAATTTACCCTTGCCCTCCCTAAATTCCATCAAGCCGTTCCCCTGGAAAAAGGGTAAGGTGTCATCTGACAAATTAGGAGTGATCTTGTTTGTTGTATTGAAAGGCCCTGACTTCCTGGAGGTATATTTATTCCTTCACACAGGACAAGCTGGCCAAGGAGGAACACAACAGTGCTCTGAACCTTAATAAGATTAACACACAGTGGAGAACCGTCCTTCGGGAAGTTAAGACCAGAGAACTTCTTAAGGACATTGAGATCCTCAGCCAAACATTTGAACGAGTGGTGGATTGTAAGGACAATGTCATCAAGGTAGGCACTATTTCCACGGAAACCTTGAGTATGGCTTCCTGACCTCTTCTCTTAATAGAATGAGCCTAGTGAATTACATAATCCATCCTAAATCCCTCACAAGACACAGGCTATTGGTAATAACAGTTTTCACAGAAATAATAAAATAGAATATTGGGCTGTCTTTCATCCCTCTCCCTCCCTTAGAGAAGCCACTCTCCTTGGTCATCTACTGCCTGAAACCAGTACTATCCAATAGTAGAGTTGTAAGGCACAGTAGACATCACCCAGTGACTTGAAATAAGTCCCACACCTTCACTTCAATGTCAGAAGGCTCAGTTTCAGAGGGGAACTGACTTGCCCCAGGTCACACAGCTAGCCAGTGAGAGAGCCAGCACTCCAGCATGTGTTTCTTGACCTCCACTCAAGTGCTGCATTCAACCAAATTGTTTGGCCTCTTGATTAAACTTCAGTGGCCCTGGGTACTATTGAGAAGATCTCCAGGGGTAAGAGCAGTTCTGGATTTTTTTTTTTTTAATTAATGTACCCTGATTGAAAAACGATGAGAGAATATAGAAAAGTATAGAGTGTTCATATTCCCATCACCCAGAAACAATCACCATTGACATTTTAGTAAGCCTTTCCAAACGTGTGTATTTTTATGCATATATGCATATGCACAGGGACATACATAGAAATATACTTTTTTTCACCAAAATGGAACACTTCATAATTATTTGTAACCTGCTCTTTTTTATTTAGCAGTTCAGGAACATTTTTCCAAGTTAGAAACTTTTATTCTAGATTGGGAAAGCAAAGTGTACTCTATAAGCCGTAACAGGCCCTCTGCCTGCTTTAGTAAATAAAGTTTTATCAGCACACAACCGTGCTCATTTGTTTGCATATTGTCTGTGACTGCTTTCACATTACAAACAGGAGAATTCAGTAGTTGTGACAGAGACCATATGGCCCACAAATCTAAATTTTTATTATCTGGCCCTTTAAAAAGAAAGCCTGGGGACCTATAAACTAGATCATGGATTTTAAACCTGAGGGTTTATGAATTTGGGTTGGTGGGGAAGATTACATCTTTATTTTTACCAATTCTAGCTGAAACGTAACATATCTTTCAAATTATTGGTATAGACAATAAATCACAGTTGTGTTAGCAACACCTGTGAATTTGTCTCCACTAAAAACCGTAGGTATTAATATACTACAGAGAGTTTGTCATAGGTATTCTTGATTTATTTATGTTTACCACTACTTGAAAATTATAATTATTAGACCTGCTACTAGATCTTTTTATTTTATGACTTTAAAAAGAAGAATCAGCTGGGCATAGTGGCTTGCGGCTGTAATGCCAATTCCTTGGGAGGCCAAGACAGGGGAATCACTTGAGACCAGGAGTTCAAGACCAGCCTGAGCAACATGGCGAAACCCAATCTCTACTAAAAATACAAAAGTTAGCCAGGTGTGGTGGCATGCACTTGTAGTCCCAGCTACTCGGGAAGCTGAGGTGGGAGGATGACTTGAGCCTAGAAGATTGAGGCTATAATGAGCTATGATGGTGCCACTGTACTCCAAATCAGATCCTGTCTCAAAAAAAAAATCACATTTATTAATACATTACAAAAAAATTAGTATTCTGACAATTTTATTTCTATGCATCTGTTTTCTTCACAATCCTATGTATTCAGTTTTATGCCATCTAAAACATTACCCTGAGAAGACATTGATTACATTTCTCCAGATTGCCAAAGGGGTCCATGAAACAAGAAAAGGTTAAGAATTTTCAATTTAGATAATTTTTCATGGCTGTCTATTATTTCACTGTTGTTGCTATTTAATCAATACCTAGGCTATTTTCAATTTATTGCTCCTATTTTAAAATAATTTTTAAATAATATTTTAAAATATATTATTTTAATTATTATTTAATAAATAATTATAATTGTTTTAAAATAATTTTTAAAACCCCATGAAGTATACAAATCCATATACTCTTGTCTAAGTAAATATTTACATATTTATGTGGGATAAATTTCTTCAACTGAATTGTTGGATCACTGGTGAAGCCCTTTCTTAAGTTCCCAGACACGTGTTGCCAAGATTTTTTTTTTGAGACAAGGTCTCACACTCTGTTGCCCAGGCTGAAGTACAGTGGTGCAATCAGGACTCACTGCAGCCTCAACTCCCACTTCAGCCTCCTGAGTAGCTTGAACAACAGTCACATGCCAACAACCTCGCTAATTTTTTATATTTTTAGTAGAGATGAGGTTTCACCATGTTACCCAGGCT